TTATTTGTAAAGTAAACAAGAATAATTTACTACAATGGATAATCAAACGAATTAACAGAAACTAAAACTTTACAAAATTAAAAGAAAAAAAATATAATTCAAATAGGTAACACTCTAAGTCATCTGTCTGACTGTCTGTGTAACCCCCTGCCTACTACCCCAACCAGCTACCAGTTTTTATCCCCATCCATCGATCAATTCTTCTTTCATCTTTCCATTCATTGATACAGCTGTCTCCCTGTAATAACGAATTCCACCCCCACCTCTCTCTCTCTCTCTCTCTCTCCCTCTCTCCCTCTTTCTTTCTCTTTTTCTCTCTCTCACTCTATCTATCTCACGCACACACACACACACACACACACACACACACACACACACACACATCGACCAAGGATTCATATAATTAATCCCTTAACAAGCGCATCCAACCACACACTTGATAATCAAAGCCTTCTTTTATACCCCCTCTTCCGTTATCCCCACTAGGAATCGCTGGTTGCCCTCCACAGAAACATATTACATTTTGAATAATTAAACATAACCGGACGAATAACCGTCACTAAATTAATGAGCTTAAAGATTATAAAGATAATAGTTAATAACATAATCACGACCCGGAAGCTACAACACAGCAGCGGTGATTGAATGTTGAAATAAACGCGGGAAACAAAAATTAATTCTCTTGCACGACTAGAACATCATGTACGCTTAGCTCCGCAACACAACCAGACCTCAGCAGACAGTCGATTACCAGAGCCAGAATTGAAACTGTTGGAGCGTTTCAAATAATACTTTTCGCTACTGGTCGTTTTTATTATCCGATATAAAAGTTTCCACTTTTGGATGCTTTCCCGTTTTCAAGATGGATTTATTGATGGAAAGCAATGTGGTCCAAAGACCCGTCCCTTCCCCTCCCTAAAGGCTGCTAAAGCGTTCAGTATAACAAGTAATGTCTGTTTTTCCCACTCGACACTCGAAGCTGTAAAAGAGTATGTGAAGAAGAAGTTAAAGCAATGTGGGAGACATTCCCTTCTCTTATTGAATGTTGGCAATCGTTGTCAGTAAAAAATGTGGTTTCATTGTTATTAAAAGCTTTTATTGAGTTCCGGTTTGTTTGTTTGTTTCTTTGTTTGTGTTAGGTTAGATTTGTATGCTATTTACTGTTCAATATTTACTTTTACTCGAGTGTTTGAAAGTAAATTATTCAGTAAGATCTTCTTTGGCGACAAATATCTGAAGTGTTGATATTATCTGTAGCGGATAAAAGGAATCATCCTATGACATATACAAGAGAAACATTAAGAATGCTTCAATAAGCAACGTGACTAAGTAAACAGTTTACGCCCCTAATCCCCCCAAATCTAAATGGTTTGCCAGACAACACAGTTACGAATGATAAAAGAATCGTTGGGGTTTAACATACTACGTCCGAGTTTAAATAAACATTTTCATTAATACTTTCTTTTCTTATGTGAGATATCGGCTTTGTGCCTCTGGGAATGGCAGTTTAACAGAAGATATGTAGCTGAGCTAGGGACGAGAGTTCTTTTGCAAAGAAACAACTATGTAAATAGTTTTAAACGACTTAGCTGGTTAATAATGAAGTCAAAGTGTCGTCCAATCATCCCCTTGCTGTCGCCTGATGACACCTTTAGGAACCATCAACTACATTTTCCTGCCATCCTATAATAATCTTATTGACTTCCCCTCCTATATATGGCGACAGCAATGTTTTTAAATCCTTGAGGTATTAATCCTACATGCAGGATGAGAAACAAAACCACCCTGCCTCGTTAGATAATTTAGTGGAATGTTTAGCGGTTCGTTTGGACTTTCCCGCAGCTCACTGGCTGAAGAACACTGATCTAAAACAGTGTTGTTCAAACTTTTTTTTTCCACTGTGAACATTATAACTAACAGGAAGCAAGAACAAATGTACAAATCATTTTAAATGTTGAATCTCGTAATCATCAAGAGCCTTGCCAGCTGGCGTAGGTGTTTAAGCACCTCCACAGATCTGGGTCTTTGGTGTTCTGTATCAATTCCAGTGAGGATATTTCCCCATGCCATTGTCTGAAGCCACCCATGATCATTTCATTTTGTCCGCCTCTGCCTCTTCTACCATTCATCTTTCCAGTCGTAACGATATTTTTCAGTGCACCTTTTCTCATCACAAGACCAAAGAACTTTGTCTCTTTCTCATTGTTGTATGTAATGTTCTACTTTCATTAGCCATTTCTATGCAGTCATTGTTAGTTATATTAGTTATATATTTGTTGAATCTCATTTTACAAAATTACAGTTCTCAGTTTAACTATTAGTTGCTGCTGTTTAGAGGCTAGAAAATCTGACATAAGTATCGTGTACAAAGTCCACTCGCTATGAGGACATGTAGAGCCAGAATCATGAGGTTTGCTTTCCCTCTTTCCAGATAATGACGTTGTATTGCGCTATGAGGGGGCGTGTGACTCTGACTAGTAGTGAGTCTGACTAGCAAGACCCGCCCGCGTTTTAAAAAAAAATTTCTTCCACAATCATAACATTTTATGACCACTTTTGTCAACATTTGTGTTTAGCCTGTTTCTTTTCAGACACTCAACTCTCAACCTTTCTGCAACTATTTCTTCCTTCAGTCTCATTTCCTTCCTGATATGCCCCTACCACACAACACCGTCCATGGTATTTTGTTCCAACCAGTCCACCTCAACACCCATGACATTAATTTTCCGTTTGCACACATCTTTATATCGAAGTAGAGGTCGGCCTCCACAGCTTTTCCCCGTCACAAAAAAGAAAGTCCCCAGGGACTCTGCCAACCACCATTCTCCAGGTGTGACCTAGTCACCTGTGTCTTCCTAGACTGAGCATTGAGAAGACTGTTGGAATACTGGCTCTTTCCAATACCACAGTGTTTGCGATTTTGTCCTGTCACTTAATGTCAAGTATTCTTCTTAGGCATCTCATGTGAAAGCTATTTAGCCATTTCGCCTAGCGCGAATAAGTTTACCAAGTTTCATTGCCATAAAGTTAAACATCTAATCGCTAAATAATGAGGTATAAATTTTGGCGGCCCATCAGCACATCCCCCCAGCCCATATGTGGTCTACACATCACTGATTGAAGAACTCTGGATTACATCTCATAAAAAGCAGAACTTTTTTTTTTTTCTAAACAAAAGACTCTGTGATCATCTGGGAACAATGCTTACAAACATAATTTCAGTAATGTGGAAAAGTTACATGATAAAATTCTACACAGCGCCATTCGGGAGAGATTATTAAATGGCACTGTAGCTTCTTTACGGGTAATAAAGGTGCAAAACACGTAACTGAACTCACTGCTTTATATTGGTCTTCATGGACGTTGAAACAGGCTTTAGCAGAATAAACAGGACATCTTTTCAGAAATTGATGATGCTCTATGAAAACCTGAGGAAAACGATTAAATTAATGAAGACAGCATATAAAGCCATAAGGCCGTGAATCCTGGTCAAACTAAATTTCTTGAGGGATGTTGCGTAACAAAAGGATGATGAAAAATTCCTTGCATTGCCAGAAAGGGTCATAAAAGATGCGAAGACCCGCTTTATTACGCAATAATAATAATAACATTAGCATTATTATTACTATTGCCCACATAAACACGGCTTTAACCCTTTTGAGCCCATCCGTGTTGCTAGAAAATTATTGGTGCTCAAGAGGTAATTATCCAGTTATAACAGCAAAGTAAAAGCAAAGGCAAAGGTCCATTTTCAACTATTTTAGGCGAATTGAGAAATTAGGGCTGGACCCATGTTTGTGTAGACCAATCGGCACTTGGTGGATGATGTGGTCAGCATCACGCCGGCCGCTTTTACTTCTCTGAACTGAACCTGGTACCCGCTTAAGGCTAGGTTGACCTGGGGTCAAGGTCATTTTTGAAAGAAAAGTTTGTCTCAGTCAGGACGCAAACCGTTATCTTCCCACCCACAGCAGACGTCTAGCTGCCAATTTTTCAGCGGCTCCCTAGTTATAACAATAATAATATGTATTAGTATTATTATAATGTGCTGACTGAAAATATATATATATATATATATATATATATATATATATATATATATATATATATATATATATATGTTCATATTATGAAATATAGAAACGAATGCTTTCAAAACAAACAAAAAAGATGTATGTATATGGTAGGCAGGGGTGGGGACTGCTTTAAAAAAAAAAACTGGGATTGGGGATAGTTGGGGGGTTGGGGGGGGGGGGCCTGAGCAAGGCCTCAAAATGTGGGGAGAAGGTGGTCCCTCAAGGTGCCTGAGCCGCCAGGTTCTGGCCCCTATATCAAAAATAGGTTCTCACCCCCACCCTCCCCCCGCCTCTTAATTTTTTTTTATTTTTTATTTTTTTTTGTTTTTTTTTTTTTGTTTGTTGAATTGGCGCCACTGCATAGTAACATCATTGAGAGAATAAAAGACTATCTCTGCTTCTCTTCTTCTTTGTTTTCCCGGTCAAACCAGTAAGTAAGTAAATTAAAGGACCCTTTCCCACGCCTTTAGGCATAATGGGCATATAAGGCTAGACCTATATAGATGATGTGGTGCCCTGACTTCCCAGGACTGCACCTGGTACCCACTCAAGGCTAGGTCGACCTGGGAGGCAAGATAATTTTTTGTTAAAGTCCAGCTTCGTCAGGATCCAAACCCACGACCTTCTGATGCACGGCTAGCATCTTGCCGCTACACCAGGGCGACTCTCCCGATCAAAGCCAATAGTACAGTTGCTCTCAACCTTCCTAATGCAGAGACCCACAAACAATTATTTTTCTTCATAATCAATGAATATGTTTTTCCCTATAGGCGACCCCTGTGAAAGGGTCCTTCCACCCAAAAAAGGGCTGCTACCGGCAGGTTGACAGCTACTGCAGTAGTAAAATGAAAATGCTTAAAATGACTCTTCTTATCTCTGTTCTATAGTGAACAACCACTGACCTCTATTCTCATATTATTACAGCTCCCTGATGTCCACAACCACCTATGGACTGTCAGGTCAGTTGGCCTTTGATGAGGATGGTTACATGGATGTCAGCAAGTTTCGGGTCAGGAACCTCGTTTTCGATGGTCGGCAGAGTGTCTGGCAAGATATCGGCTGTGTTCAGGGAAAGGAAGTCAGACCATTCGGAATCATCTGGCCTGGGGATGCTCAAAACATGAAGGTATCAGACACTCTCTTTCTAGGGAGTAGATACATTTTTGTCTAGATAATAGACATATCTCTGTCTAGGTGACAGACACTTCTGTGTCTAGGTAATAGACATATCTCTGTCCAGGTGACAGACACAACTGTGTCTAGGTAATAGACATGTCTCTGTCTAGGAATTAAATATATCTCTATCTAAGTTATAAAACTTATGTCTAGGTAATAGACATATCTCTGACTAGGTATTAAACATATCTCTATCTAAGTTATAAAAACTTCTGTCTAGGTAATTGACATATCTCTGTCTAGGAATTAAATATATCTCTATCTAAGTTATAAAAACTTATGTCTAGGTAATAGACATATCTCTGACTAGGTATTAAACATATCTCTATCTAAGTTATAAAAACTTCTGTCAAGGTAATTGACATATCTCTGTCTAGGTACTAGACATGTCTCTGTCTAGGTAATTGACATATCTCTGTCCAGGTACTAGACATGTCTCTGTCCAGGAAATAGAAGTATGTCTAGGTATTAGACATACCTCTGTCTAGGTTATAAACACACGTCTGTCTAGGTTATAAACACACGTCTGTCTAGGTTATAAACACACCTCTGTCTAGGTTATAAACACACCTCTGTCTAGGTTATAAACACACCTCTGTCTAGGTTATAAACACATTTCTGTCTAGGTTATAAACACACGTCTGTCTAGGTTATAAACACACCTCTGTCTAGGTTATAAACACACCTCTGTCTAGGTTATAAACACACCTCTGTCTAGGTTATAAACACATTTCTGTCTAGGTTATAAACACACGTCTGTCTAGGTTATAAACACACCTCTGTCTAGGCAATAGATATATTTATGTCTATGTCGCAGACATATTTTACAAAAATACATTTAAAACTACCCCTGACTTGTCACTTCTTCTGCTTGATTCTTTCGTCGTCTCGATGATACCTGGTTTGAGCCCAAACTTCTGGTGAGGGAGCAAATTTACTTTGGATCGTGACCCGACGGGTAAGTGAAGTAAATGACGCTTTTAAAGCCGATGGCGCATCGAACATACGATCAATAAAGTGATGTGATCAATATCACGCCGGCCGCATTCACTTCCCATTATATTTTTCATTATTCATTGTTTTGTTGGGTCCTTATATGCCACAAAGAACTTGCAGTCTCTTCTTGACATAGCTTTTTATTTTTTTTTATTTACAACTTCTAGCATGAGAATGGAAGTGGAGGCAATCACTTCAGCTCTGAAGTCCTCCTCTCTTGAATCCCTATATTTCCCATTTCAGTACCTGTTTGGTGGTTCTCTAGTTTCTTCTCTGAATGTGTCCAATATAGAACCATCTCCGCTGTCGCATAACTGTCGAAACTAGTCGTTGGTCTGGCATATCTCTTTTTTTTCTTCCATTCCTATTGAATTCATCCCATTTTATGTTCTCGAATCCACTCCTTTTTCTTCTTTACCCTTCAGCTGAAGATGTAAATGCATGATGCTTGTTTACAAATTGGCTGCGATATTTTCGCCTTTCGGCCGACATATCCGACTTCTGCAGACATTTGTTGCCTGGGTGAGCCTTCCCATAAATGCTTTTGACTTTCGCTCCATGTCTGTAGTGGTTTCCAACATTCACTGGCGTGTGTTTCAACTGAAATTACGTAACAATTGAAAATACAGAACACACAAATGTAAAGCTCCTTGTTTTGTTCGGGCTTTTCAAAGCTGCTGATACCTTTCCAATGCCTATCATCATTTCTTTCTTTGTGTGTCCTTGACTTTCAAGATTACTACAAAAGAATTAATTCCAGGATATTACCTTGTGCTTATTTTATACAAGGCCAACAAGGCAGCTAAGCTCATTTAAAAGGAAAAAAACAAAAACGATTCCATCAGATTCGAACCGAAAACCTTGGGCCGACAGCCGAGTGTCTAGCGACTGCGCTACCGCGGCTCCTCGTGGCCCAGCTATCAGCTCTTAAAGAAAAGTAGTTTTCTTTAACTATGCTCTCATCTGCTTGAGCGCAAGATTGTGGGATCTGGAAAAAGAGTCCGTGTCCACACATAGACATAACTTCACATGATTCAGAAGAATAAAGATTGGATAGGTTATATGAAATGGATTGTTTTATTTAAATAAATAAAAACACACAAACGCATCACGTCGTACTGCTGTTAATAGAATTTAAAAGCTGGTTCAATTGTGTTGAAGGTACACATAAATGGTACTGAAACATCAATTGCTAAAAGAAAAGAGTGCAGGACCCTTTTCCACGTCTTTCCGGGCTGAAGCTAAAATTAGTATAATAAAGATAACGAACGAACGAACGAACTTTATTTTCAAAGAGTCACAAATTGGGCACGCATGCCCGTCTTACATTCGGCCCTTCAAACACCTGTTTTTCACACTGCAGCTATATTTTATCAATGAGCATCTTATATTCATATGATAATATGCATATTATAAATATCAAAAAGAGAAAAAAAAAGTAAAAAGTACAAAAGCATGGGTGGTAAAATGCATGCACACACACACACACACACACCCACCCACCCACTCACTTAAACACACCCACATGCCTTCACACCCCATTCACCCACATACATACCTACATACCCACAAAGACACGTACATCCCACACACATACAAACATACAGATATACACACATAGACACACCCATAGCAACAAATAAAGACACACACACACACAAACAGACATACGCAGACATACCCAGTCACACACGCAGATACACACTTATAGACACACACATGCGACACACACACACACACACAAACCGGCATAACACATACGCAGACGCATATGCATAAACACACGCAGACACAAACACACACAGATACACTCGGAGACACACAATCAAATAGGTGTTTGATTCCTAAATTTGATACTAGTTAGAATCAAGATATTTTATAATTTGCTTCAATATTTCAACTATAGGGTCGAGATTCAGCTCTATTCAAAAAATTCAGTTCCGTTAATGATTCACTTGAATGGCACACTCGCTCCATTACCAAGATAAATACCACTATAGGATAGAGTCGCTAGCTCAGTAAAGGCACACAAGTAATGTACACACAAGTCTTCGCTCACTTCTGATGGCCTTTCGAGAGAAGAGAAATCCTTACCGTTTACACTTAATTGTCTCTATTCAGAGACAATTCACCATGTGACAGTCCATTATTCCATCATCATTACGTGCCTGTCCTGCGGCGTGGGCGCTAATGTCTCTCCGCATATCTCGGTCTCTAGTATGTCTCTCTTCTTATCACATGACCAAAGAACACGGACTGTCTTTTTTATAGTTGTACATAGTTTTCTATTTAAGTAGCCATTACCAGGCAATCACTAGTCACTCTGTGCACGGTATCCCCACCATGTGTCTCAGAAACGACACCTCCACTACCTCCAGGTTCTTCTTAATTTGTTTATTCACACTCCAAGATCTTCAACTATACAGAACCATACAGCAGCAATGATTATGTAATCCTTACAAGGCAAACATACTTTCCTTAGAGGAAGCAGGTAATCAATGTTCCAACATATCGGGTCAGCCCACAGTTGCTCCGTTTAAGTGCCAATGACAACCAACCACGCAGAAAGCATTTGTTTCTTGTGAGCTAATTGACTGACACAGCCAGTATTATCTGCAAGTCGACAGCATATATACGCATTAAATACATAAAGTAGCTAGTAGAAGTGCCAACGCAAACAATTCGAGACTAGAAAGGCAGTTCATCATTGATAAAAATTGCAGTTACAACAAATCAGGTTTCTTACTGTTGTTTTTCAACCAACATTTCTGGGAGGCGTGGTGTCATTGTGGCTAGATTCTTGCCTGTTGGCTTCAGTTACATTGAGCATCAAGGCCGATTTCTTTTTCTTGGCGGTAACGGGCTGTAAATTCCGGTGAAAAGATTCTCCTTGTTTGTCCACCTTTAGATAGATGTCTAATTCACACGGGACCACAAACACCTGAGCACATTCTGTAGGTCCGCCTTCTATACTTACACATACGAAGATAAATCTGGCCTCAAGGGCTAAATGTGCTATGGGGAACCACGAAGGACCAGCAACTGACATGGGAATTCATAAAGGCAGCCCACCTGACGATATAACCTCAGAAAACGAAACCTTGCGCAAAGAAGAAGAAGATATGGGGGTTTCTTATGTTGAAGTAGCAGGAGCTTTTTCACTCAAGCGGTGCATGAGACACATCGTTCTAGGCTCAAATGTTTGAAGACCAATCGTCTCTTTGTGGGTGTTGTAGTTCAGATATCGACGTTCGCCAATTCTCTCCAGGACATATTATGGCATACATTTATTATTGATGGACCCATATGCCTTGAACGGATTCGAACCTAAGAACTTGAAAGGTTAAAGTTTAGAAAATCGACTTTATTGCACCGGGTTTTATCCCATATGGCTCAGTCTCTCTCCACAGAAGGGCTAACCGTCTGCCGGTAGCGTCGCACAGAGCACACATTCAGTAGCTCCGACAACGATCCACATGGATCTCCGTTAAATAGCAGTCCTCGACTACAGGGCGAAGCCGTAAAACGAACCCACGACCTTTAGAGCGAGAGGCAAACCGCTTGATCATCTAAGAACTTAACGTAGGAAGACACATGCCCAGCCATTGGGCTTTTCTGTCGCTATTTTCTGAAGTGTAAATACATATTCGTTGACTCAGTATTATTTTATTTACTGTCATAACCACCAAATCAGTAATGATGATTTTTCTCCCCAGTCAGAAACTGAAGGCAAGAAGCGTTACCGAGTGGTAACCAATCCAGTACAACCGTTTGTTATGACCGAAGCACCACATTCGGACTACAGGCAATGCTTGAGCGACACACCCTGCCTGAACTTAACCAACAAATTCAAGTCCCAAGAAATGGTCTGGCTTGCTATCGAAGCCTACGAACGTGGCGAGGGTTCTGAGAGCGGACTCTACACCATCCAATGCTGTCGTGGACTCACCATTGACCTACTTAACAAACTCTCTGCAGATTTGGAGTTTGAATTCACCTTGTATATTGTCCAAGACGAAACATACGGCCAGCGATCCCCCAACGGTACATGGACGGGTATGATGAGAGATCTTACGGATAACACGGCTCATTTTGCTGTGGCAGCTTTTTCCATCACTAGTCAAAGGGACTCGGCCATAGATTTTACAGATCCTTACTTCTTCTCGGGATTCTCCATTATTTACTCTGATCGAACAAGGGAAACAAGTATGTTGGCTTTTCTGGAACCCTTCTCTACAGAAGTATGGTTTGCAATCCTCGTTTCTGCACAGATTACCGCTGTGTGCATGGCCCTGTTGGAATGGAACTCGCCATTTGGATTAAACCCTTGGGGAAGAGCGCGAACGAAGAACTATTCCTTGGCGTCTGGAATAACTATGGTATTCTCAGTTCTGTTTGGTCACACTGTGAGAACTAAATCACCCAAAGCTTGGCCTTCAGCTCATTAAAGAACAACAAGTGAGATGGTTTTGCCACCTGACGAGAATGCCCTGATAACACCCCCTCGGAAATCCACGCTAAAGCAATATAATGAACACAGAGCAAGAGATAGAGTGACATTATCAGGAGCAACCTAACAGAAATGACCACCAACTTGTACAATGCATTGGAAAACGCACATAAACGATCCTTACATCTCATTCCAACAACTCGCTGGGGTAAAAGGTGGATGAGAAAAAGAAGAAGAAGAATAACCAGCGTAAAATAATGTACAGAGTAAAGCAAAGGACAAAGCGGAGGCAAAAATAGGTCATCGTTGTCTGGAGAGAGCAGTGCAGTGGGAAGTGACCGGGGGATCTAGCTGACACTTCACCCTCAGAGGAAAGGAAAGTTGGGCATATAATTATGCTGATTACTACTTGTACCGTCTAAGTTGGAACTCCTTCCTGGCTGCTGAACATGAGGACAGATCACTTATTGGAATGTCCCTAGCATTGTGATGTCGAGTCCTGAAACTCATCTCATCTCCTTTTCTTATGTTTATGTTTTTACAACGGATAAACATCATGGTACAAGAGTATTAACCCAAAAGTGCTCTGTTCTACTTCTAACTCAAGCCTGAGTCCGAAAAAGCTCTGCTCTTTGCACGAATTCCGTTGCATCGGCGAGGATCCTGAAATACTTTGGGTAGATTTGTACCTCTAAATTTTGCCCGTGCAGCGCCATAGGCTACTTTTTTTTTATTTCCAACAGCCAGGGGATATTTTACGTGCCAATAATACACACGGGCGTCTGGTCTTACTTCCCAGAGACCAGGGGAAATTACTAGAAATCTACGTGAAAAAAATCCCAGGATTCACAGGGGTTTGAACATGGGACTCCAGCACTCGATGCGGATGTCATACCTCGAGACCACTAGGCTCATTTTCTTGCTCGGTGTGATGTTGGCTACATCACCTATCCAGTGCCGACTTGTCCATAAAATATAGGTCTAGCCCTATGCGCCCAATAAGCCTGAAGGTGTGGAAAAGAGTCCTTTACTCTTTTTTTTTTAACTTGCTGGACTGTCTGTTGGTTAGTAAATTCCTATTTGTATATACTAATCAACTGAAAGTAAATTTGCCTAGAAAAACCACACAACAGTCAGGAACTGTTAGGGTTGGTTCTGCAACGTCCTGTAAAGGATACGCAACTAACCTAATATACTAATCAGCATTCGATGAAATAACACACAACAGTGTTGAATAATTTAGCTGGCAATCATACAATTTTGCCGCAGAAGTCGAAACGATGCAGCACCGTTACGAGACAACTATTATCATAATGGGGTATTCCAATACCCAGAAAATGTTGCCCATTACCCTTAGTCACAGAAGAGCTTCATCATGTCTGTTTGGCGATGTTGATTTCTCCAAACACAGAATTCCAATCACTTTTTTTTTGGTGCCAACATATTCCAGGGGTGATTCGAAAAGCCTCAAGACACGAATCTCTATGGTAATTGAAGACATTCTTCTATGCGACTGTTTACACAGTTTTTTTAGAATGTGTTGGGGTTGTACCGTGTTTAGGTAGGTGTTGTTGTCCAACGATATCTCGGGAAGACATATCTGTGACGACCACTGTTATTAGCATCGCTGGGAAGCGCGTTCGATGGCGTTTAACTCGCACGGGAGTGGGGTTAAGTTCAGTGGGTTTACCCACATTATTTTAAAGTCATTACCTGTATGATTAGAAGGTGTTGGATATGGTGGCGGATTTGTGTCAGGTACTGACAATATTTGAACTTTCGGGGGAGGCTGTTGTCCTCATGTGTGTACATCCACAAATGTATGTACCTTATTCTCATGTGGTTGACTCAGGGTAAAAGAATCTCATGCCTACCCACTTAACTGATTGTTCGTTAAATAGGGGGTTAGATTCCATACCTAGTTTTCGATACTTGATTACAGACTAGGATAAGTAGCATCCATGTCTGTCATCAGGAAGTATCGTTTTAGAGGAGGGGTGGATGTCATAGCCCTGTGGGACAGAGTATAGACAATACGTCGTGTAACTACATGTTGGTGTTTGACGGACCAAAAATGTGCACCAGCGCTCAGCCAGTTGATTTGATGATACGGGGAAAACCCGAGATGCTTGAATACTGGTGCAACGTACACGTTTGAACCGGAGCTGAACGGAGAGAGAGAAAAAGGCACGTGCGATGATGAGGACATTTTGAGAGACGTGATTGTATTTTTTTGTTAGGAATTGACAGATAGGTTGTGTAGTGTTAACGCTGTCGTCGTATGTGTTGGTTAGCTGTTGTTATTCCTCGTGTGCTGATAGTAAGCTAAGACAGTTGTGTTGGGGTTGTACCATGTTTAGGTAGGTGTTCTTGTCCCTGGATTTGTGGGGGTTATCTGCGTATTGTGCTGTCGTTGACATTGTCCGCTAAAACTTGAACCACTCACCATGCGTGTGCCACTGAGTCTCGCATGGCGAAGATCGTAGCCTAGTTGGCGCTGCACTACAGGAGGTGGAATCGTGTCCTTTGGTTCATCCATGGGAATTGCCCGGGGTGGATAGGTAAATATAACTGCCGCCACTGCCCGAGAGTTTCAGATTAGGGGACTGTCCATAACTGTAGAGGTTAGTTTAGGTTATATTGTTCTTTGGTCATTAAAGATGATGTGTGTGCTTTATTTGTGTATGTGTTGAGTGTGTTTTGGTATAGTGTGTCTGTCACAGGGCCGTACAGCGAGCCCTAGTTCAATAATATAGATATCAGGTCCTTGACATATCCCCTTGCTTTATATATATATATATATAATATGTATGTAGGTATGCATGTATGTATGTAATTATGTAGGCATTATGTATGTGTATGTGTATATGTGTATTTATGTGTATGTGTACTCTTATGTATACATGGATGTATGTGTGTACATAAAAATGTATGTGTTTTACCTATGCAGGAGTGTTCGGAAATTTAAAAAAAAACGCAGACAGACTGGCTGGTTCTACGCCAATGGGTAGTAAATTTAAGTATGACAAGCTAAATGTGGTCAAGGCCCTTTAGAAGCAGCTGAACAATAGATAGGCACGAATTGGTTATTATGATCTGGAGGGAAGGACGCAGCTAAAAAGTAACATGGGATCTGGTCGACACGTTACACTCAGAGAAAAAAGCCAGACGGACATATAGTCCAACTGCTACCGGCACTGTCGGAACTGGATTCAGAACTCTTCGTTGTTTGCTGACGATGGGGACGGAACACTAAGGGCAATGTCCAAAGTGCTGTGCTGTCAGTTCTTACTTAGCTCAAAACACAGCACGAATATATGTATGTATATATATATATATACATTTTTTTGCTGACGAGCGATTGGACAGACAAATGAGTGTGGAAATATGCAGTGAGTAAACATATAAAGAACGCATGTGCCTCAGCAAACTGGATACCCTATCTGGGTGGCGGGTTATACACACACACACACACACACACACACACACACACACACACACACACACATATATATATATATATATATATATATATATATATATATATATATATATATATATATATATATATATATATATATACCCCTAAACTAATTTGTCAGGATTCATGCCTCTAATGTCTCTGCCTGCCAACAATATCGGACTGATTGTAACAAGCCGCTACGCTTTACTTGTTTCTGCTTCAAGATAAGCTCAGATCTGTTAACATATAGACATGTGTGTAATTTATTGGGGGAAAACATGTTATTATCTGTACAAACACAACATTATAGCTAGGACGACGGCTGCCTTGTGGGCATGCAGGCAGAGGAAGTGATAGAGGGAAACAACGTAGGTTTGTTCAATAAACTATAAAAATGCAGGGCTGTTTTTTTTCCCAACTGAACGCAACGGTGCGCAGTACTGACACCATTTTTGGTTTTCTTTATCAGAACTACTGTAATAATCAGTCTATGGTTAGTACCGGCACCTTTTTATTAGTTTGTGGTGAGTAAAAAAAAAAGAACCCTTTTCACGCCTTTGGCGTATGTGCATATAGAGCTAGATCTATATTTTGTAGAGAATCGGTAGTCTGAGAGTGATATGATCAGCATCACACCGGTCGCCTTTACTTCACAGGACTGTACCTGGTACCCATTTAAGGCTGGGTCGACCTGGGAGTCATGGTCATTTCTGGAGGGGAAAACCTACCACCTTCGGATCCACAGGCGAGCGTCTAATCGCTACACCAGGGCGGCCCCTTTGGGGTGCGCACCGGCACATTTCTTCTAGAAGAAAATCCCTGTATACCTGTATAGAGAGATAGATACAAGTGGACATACAGATAAATACTTTAAATAGAACATAGAACTGGTGTGTGTGTCTGCATCATCCGTAACGCTGCGTGTCGACGGGTCACCAGCTGCTGTTCCATCAGCCTTTGACAGTCAGATGCAAGGAACTTCCTGGCTGCGTGCCTAATGCCTGTCTTGTAAGTGAAGGTTTTGTATCTAGGTCTTCTTGGTGTTCCGCTTCTCCTACTCCCCTCTACAGAGACCGGTAGTACTGTTTTGAGAGACCGTTAGATCTTTTTACATTGTCCGTTCAATCTTTTCACTGTTATTAGAAGTTCGTTGTTGCCAATTTGTTAGGTAATCATCTTGCGAACCTCGCCATTTGGTATGTGGCCTCTATAATATGCCAAAAACGTTTGGGAAAGATCTTATTTCCAGTGTTTTATCTTCTTTTCGAGTTCAGTTGTTAAGGCCCAAGTTTCACAGCCATATTTGTATGTGTGCGTGTACATAAATGTGTGTACGCACAAATGGTTAGATATGAAACAAAAAGATATACAGTGATTTTTTTTTAGATTGACAGCAGGTAGGTGCGTAACTATACATTTTTGTATAAGCAGAAAGATAAATAGGAGGCTTGATAGGTAGAAAGGTAATAGATACGTTTGTATGTGGGTATAGGAATACTGATTAAAACGGAAGGATGCTTAATGGC